GGGGGCTAATTGAGTTTCTTCTGTCAACACAATGGAAAACAATATAAAAAAGCATCGTTTTTGTTCTGCTGAAGGGGGGCCTTCAGCCCCCCTTTGCCCCCCTGGATCTGCCCTTGAGTCAGACTCTTGCAAGATGTTAATGGACAACAGAATTCTGACATTAAATTTATATTGTGTAGTTCCAGAACTTATCCATACCCCCCCCCCCCCCACCAAGGAATTTTTTTAAAGATCCCCCACTCCTACCCCCAGAAATTCAAAATTTTCTTCCATACAAACTCTGTAATTTTTGTTCTTTATCTGACCCCCCTCCTCCCCAGAATTTCCAAATTCCTCTGTGGGTGGRATATGGATAATTTCTGGAACTACACATTAGTACCATTATCGTTAAAGTGCAACCCTTGGAGTTTGATGTTTGCCAACACAATATACTCTARCACAATATTGTGAGAGAAATAATTTTGGACTGAATCAAAGATTTTAGAGGATTTCAGGATTGAAATATTTAATTCAGTCCAAATCAAAAGTTCATTGATTGACAGTCGTCAAAATGCTAGTTGGCAGCAAACTTTTGTGGGTTGCACTTCAACGATAATTATAAATAGTGAATGTTTGAAGTTGAATTTATTTCTTAAATTGATGAAGATTAAATTATTATTATTAAATAATTATCTTGGAGTACAATCAGCAGATTTAACGATTCATACCTTTCATATTTACTAATAAATAAGTCTTTTAATTCAGGTAAAATAAGGATGCAGATTCCAAGATTCCAAAGAGATCTGCAAAAAAAATTACCACCATTAACATTATTGATAATAATACTTATTATTTACAATACTTAATAATATTGATAATAATTAATATTGTCGATAACAATCAATATTATCCATAATAATTAATATCGATAATAATATTAATGGTAAAGGGTGGCATAGGTGGCCTATGCTGCTAATGCCTTGATCTCTCACCAATGCTAAGTTTGTCGCACGATGCCTGCTTTCAAATCCACTCGTCCAAGAGAAAGTTTAGTTTGCTTGATGTGTTGTTCTCTCCTATGCTACAAGGATTTTTCTCAAAGTTCTCTGGTTTTCTTCCCTCCATAAAAATCAACATGTGAGTCCACAGAAGTGTGTATAGAATATTAAAATGCAGAGGTAGTGTGTGTGTGGAAAACAGCTTCCCCAATTAGTGCAAAAGCACTAGAATGGGTTATTAATGCATTTGCATACTATAAATCACAGGCTTTTGTATATTAAACCAACAAATTTYGATGGCTAAGCTGCCTTGTTTTACCAAATAAGGCATGTAAAAGCTCATTTGGCAGCGAAAATCCAGTGCACATTGYGCTATGGACGTTGATTGTATTATTGCCCTATTTTTTTTGATAGCATGTTACTTAGCCCTACTGTACCGCACCCCAACCATGACCATGAAATTTACTGTTTATTAAAACTAAATGACAAACAACTTACTGTTTAAGGCAGAGTACATTGAGTACATCCACAAAGATTGCTGGATCATTCATGTTAACTGCTGTTTGTACTGCTGTCTGAAGAGAACAATGATAAAGGAGATATTTTACTGTTATAACCTTGGGAGTAATGTTTTTCCATTTCTGACCATGTGTCATTCCCTAGAGTATCATTTCTTTGTTTAACGGTTGGACATGAGAAGATACATGAAAATTGATATGAATACAACTCAAACAAAGAATCTTATTTTCAAGAGAATGACACATGGTCTGAAAAGGGGAATCTTTGTATCCATATTCAGTGTATTCTCGCGAGCAGCTGATAAACAAAGAAATGATACTCTAGAGAATGACACATGGTCTGAGATGGGAAAACATTACCCCCAAGGTATATTAAAAGAGGTGTATTGTCAAAATGAACACCAGCCAAAATAAAAAGACTGCCAACCAGCTGATACAAAATAGTGCCGTGTAACCTGTAGTAGGTATTAAACACCTAACTATGCCATCCCCGTCCCAATAATCTATAGGAATTATTAACCCAACCAAAAATCCCTGGCATGTTGACAATAACAAAAATAATAAATATACTAACTTACGGAAGAAAGAAATATAAATATGTAAATATTTCTATTTGACTATGCTGTTTTATGCAGAAAACTCACTTTTGTTTCACCATCAACCCAATAACGATTAATGACGGACAGGTTCTTCTGTCTTGCCGACATGATACTACAGATAGATGCATGGCCTGTGATGATTGAACAATTATATGAAAATAATAAGATCATTTTGAATTTGAATTAGATCGTTCTTACGTCCCCTTGTCCAAAGAAAATCCAGAGAAAACAAGTATATGGCTTCAAGTTCGACAAAGAAATTAAGGGTGCTGCACTTGCATCTCTCATGGTTAATTCCTGGACTATTTGGCTTCAAATGTATCAGAGATTGTCAGTCACATGTCTCCCTTGATTAGAGGGTTACTTCACTGGTTTTATGACCACTTTCTTTTTTAAGCAAAATAAATTCCAATTTGATCTGTGAGGTAGTCTTGCTCTGACTTTGATCAGCCCAGAGGTTGTCTCAGGGTTCAATCTGTGAGGTAGTCTTGCTCTGACTTTGATCAGCCCA